CCCCAAAACCCCAAAACCCCAAAACCCCTGAATAATATTTTGTTGCTGAAAATGGAGCTTGAGTTATTAGTACCTCTTCAATGGCCTCGGTTCTAAAGAAAGAAGTCCAATAATGATGTTTGTGCATCTCCAGACAGCAATCAAATTTTTCACCTACTTCTCTCAAATCTTATAGTCCAAATGCTAGGTAATTTACAGCCGAATCTCTTTTTATATGATGTTTCAATCATAAAGCTGCCAGGGCTCCCTTTAGAAAGAATGATAGCTCGATGCTAAGTTTATGTGCCGATTGTCTTGAGTCAAAGCCATAACATTCATGCAACCTCTGGCTCTATAGGTTCTGGTCAACAAAAGGAGTGTTTACAATACTTCAGATTACATTTTCAGCAATTAATGCTGAATGCTCAAATTGTTGTTTCTCAAAATGTCATTATGTCGCTCAAGTGAAGATAGGAGTTATATCTACGAAATTAAGAAGATTCCCCCAATTGCATTCGATGTTGTTTCGTATTTGATATATGAGATTGGTAACATTGATTCTTCAAAGTTTAACAAGGCAAATTTACTCGCAATGCTATAATATTTGGCAGACATAAATTCTAAGCTTATCTTTCGAAAGTTTTTTGATTCATGAAAATAGTGATCTCCAATTTGTACAAAGAAACGCTGAAAATAACTTCGATCTGAAAGGCTCTCCAACACTCATTTTGGCATGAATATTTTAGAAATAAATTGAAGCTAGTTTTGAGTTTATCCATCGAGAGAATAACAAAGAATAGTTCAGGAAGCCATACCATTGGAAGCTTCTGATGATTACGTTTATAAATTTGATATCAAAGTTAAAAGTCTCAAGTTAAACTTATTTAGAACAAAAATTGAAATTTCAGGTCAAATAAGCATACAATAATATTCCATGATCGATCCTCTCATAACTTGGTCTTACTTCATTTAGTGATAAATTCGGCTTTATTAATAAAATCTATTATTTGAAGCCCTCAGTTCTGTTTAACTCTTTTGTAGCTCAGCTTCAGAGCAGGATTAATTCTTTGAGGAGGCTTCATACTCTTGGTCCTCTCACGGAAAATTAGTTAGGATAAAAATTTGCAACGTCAGCACAAGTGAACAATACGTGGCACCAAACCTTGTCTAGTTTTACTGTAAGATAAATGCGAACATCGCAAAAACTATGATAAACTATTATGCAAGTCTCTCTTTAATCCTTGGCATTTTAGGAGCGTTTTAGGAATCTTTCCAAAATTTCTGGATTGGATGATTGAGCAGCTATGAATCCCATCAAGGTCAGTTTCTTGATATGCCCTATAATTATCAATTGATTCTTGTGCTAGCTCTTTACTTTCAGCCAGACATCAGAGTCGAAGAAGTGGCCACCTTCACTTCAAATTGATAACTCTCAACCGGTGGACATTATGAAAATTATTGTCAGAATTATGAAATAAACTGAGTTGGCTTATCATAATTTGTTCAAGCTTAGCAAATTCTGAACTCTGAAGGTAATCTTGGACCCTCTTCTAAGACAACGCTCAATCTTGGAATATTAGTGATACAGACGAGGATAAGATATTTAGTAACATGAAACAATTAAATTTAAACTCCATCGAACTTTATTCACAATTTTTACTAAAATCTCAAAGAGCACTGTCATTGAAGGGTTTGCTAAAATACGATAACTTGTAACTATAACTCTTGTGTTTGTTTGAAAAAGTCTCTTTGCTGAATTTTACTAAGACAACAAACTTGACATTAATGGGTAAAGAAGACAATGAAGGATTCATAGCAGGTTTCACAATACTTTTTACGAAATTGAGAGAATTTTTAGAGGCTTTGTTGGCAATTTCAGATATTTTAACTTTCGCTTCCATTATTATTTCCTAGCATCGGCTCTTGATAGACTACCTTTAGCAAATTTCTAAATAGATGCAGATAATTTATGTCTTACTCTTATTATTAATTCAAGCTGCTCTCTACACATATAATTGACTTGTTAATTATTCTTCAAAAGTGTTGATCCTTATTTTTAAGTCTCTACGATTAGTCTTTTCTTTTAAACCTACCTTAAAGATCTTCAAAGTGTGAAATTTCTTTACAGAAGACAAGACGCAAGGACTTGTTGCAATTTATTGGTAAATCTTGAAATCTGATTGGAGAAAGATTTCAAAATATTCCTCACTCAAATTTAGAATGAAGGAGAACTATCCAGTTTCGCCAATTTTAGGATCCACCGAATGTCTGTAAAGATTAGAGAGTTAGATTTCAATTGTTGCGAAAACATTCTCAACTGCAAATCTATCTTCTCCACTCTCGCTATCTATTGCAAATTTTCTTGATTGGGTTTACAAACTTGAAGACTCCATCAGGAAAGCTCAATAAATTTGTCTCCAATTATGCAAACCGAATGCTCTAAAAGTTCCTTCCATTTCAAAATTAGTTTTATGAAATCTTCTGCCTGAAATATCAAAATGGTAAACTATGCTCGCAATCATCAAGAGTTTCTGAAAGAGGCCAGACATGGCTTCTTCATCCTGTTTGTTCCAACCATTTTTTGAGGAAGTTATATCCTAGATTTGTCCGAATAGAATATTTAAGGAAATTTTTAATCAAAATTAATAATTTTAACATTTCAAGCTCATGATTCATAAACTCCCAGTCAGAGTCCAGGCTCTAGAGAAGGCCATCATTGAAGCCCTCATGATGCCACTCTGCTGCAAGACAAGGACTCTTGCAATGCCCTTGGACTCAAAAGGCAAAGAAGTGTTCATTGACAATTGAGAGAGGGATTACCCTATAGATGTTGCAAACTCAAAGGTGAGAATACACTTCATTCAGACTCATTCGGATGGAATAGAGGAAGAATCTTACTTTGTTGTATAGGCACCAAAGATGTCTCTAAATGATCAGTGTGATAAACTCAATAAAATTGAGCAAGATGCTTTCAAAACGAGTAATGAGTAAGTTTATCATCTTGCTATTTGTTTTGAAATTTTTGAATCATATGAGAAATCATTCTTGTAAAAATCGCTTTTTGTGTCGAACTTTTATTAAATTAACCACAGTTTATAAAATACAAAGTTTTCTATCATTTTAGGATGGTAAATGAAACTTAAAATAATGATTTGATCTGTATGAATCCCACCGATTCCACATTTCATTCACAGAAGAGATCTCTTTTCCTCCTTATGCTTCAAACTATCTATATGTTTGTGTAGAGCTCTGATATATTTTAATTTATGGAAACATGCAAAAATATTCCAGAGATGCAGTCTACATTGTTTATGATATCTTAGCTTCAGTTACAAAATTCTCATCAATAGAAATCATCCAAAACAGCATTTTAGCTTTCAAATTTTAGCTTATATACTTCACTCTTCTTTCTTAGCATGGATGGCTTTAGTTACCATGGCATTATAAGTTCTCTGACATATATTTAGGAACTCTTCAAACACCAGAGCAAAGTCTGCTCGTTCGTCACCAAGAACCTCTGTTCAGGACTCCAAGTACTTGAACCCTGAACACTTGGAGCAAATGAACATCAAAGTGAAGCAGCCTCCAATCGACGAAATCGAGCGACTCAAAGGGTACAAATACGAGCGGAAGTACCTGTTCAACGAGAAGACCATGCGCACCAACACAGTGCTCATCTGCAAGTACGATGAATGCAACAAAGTGTGCAACAAAACCTGGGACTTGCTCGACCACATGCGCAAACACACTGGCGAGAAGCCTTACCAGTGCAAGATCTGTCTGAAGAGGTTTTCGCAAAGAGGCAACGTCATCAAGCACAAGAAGATGCATGAGAAGGGAGCTAAGAAGAACAGAAGAAGAAGGAAGGCTAATAGTTATTAATTAATCAGTCAGCATCTTTAGCTAATAATGTTCTCTATTTTTAGATCTTAGAAGCAAGAGATAGTTTCAGTTATGAAAAATATTGGTTCATGTTCATATCTCTGACTTAAGCACAGTTGGACAGAATTCATCTGGATAAACTGAAAATAGTCATAGGAATTCATCAAAATTTTCTTTATGCTCTTTGACTGCCCCTTGTTCCTTCTTTTATAAGTTTTGGATGAAGGAGATTTTCATGAGTCTAAATAATATGAATTCTTTATCACTTCAGGAAAATCTATTTTTCAGAATATAATTTTCATTTGCTTATCTAACCCATGGAATCCTTGATGGATGTAATTTTTTTAAGATACTCATGAATCACCACTTCATCTTCCTCTATTTTACACTCTACAAAGCAGTCTCTAAATTTTTTAGCCAAGAAAGAAATAGTTTTCTGGCTCACTCATGCTCTAATCAGATTATGAAAAGCTGGGACAAAAGATGGGTGGGTCTTTACAACACTGTTCGTGATGTAGTTACTTAATCTCAATCTAGTATTCACACTCTGGGGTTTTGGGGTTTTGGGGTTTTGGGG